ATATATAACGTGCCGTCGGTTCGTTTTGACGCGTTGCTGCTTATGTCCAGCTATCCCCACATGTCTAGATGGGTTAAATGAACGGGCGAACTAGGGAAATTTAGTTACCGGGCTTATTACACTGTGCATTCACTAGGCTTATAATATTGTACCTCTTTAAATCCTATGCATGGTATGCACATCAAGTAATCATTTTTTGTGCTGGTAACTTTACCTGGAACCAGTCATTTGTTGCGGCCCTTGTGAGTTTGTTGTGACAGTTTTCCTGCCAACCGCATTTATTTCATTTTGAAGGTTATCGATCAGCTGAGTCAACTTCGCTTGGACCTGCCTGATAACAAACATTCGGTACTGGCTTGCACTTCTCTCAGTATGTTTTTCAATGCGTTTCTACGAATCGTCACACTATGGACAACTGCTACCAGTTCATCCAAAATCCACCGACCTCGCGTCAGTGAGGATTCGCTGACCGATGTTGTTCGGCAGACAGCATTCTTGGTACGTGTTCGGTTCGTTAGGTTGTTCCGCACGGGCGTTCTAGTGTTAATTGCTTTAAAGGAGCTGCCGTCGTGTACCCTTTACCTTGTGTTTATTGCATTACATTCCATTGAACCACCCTCCGACAAACCGCGAAAGATACCTTATCCGTCGGACCGATCCACGTGTACCCCAGGACTTATGTTCCTTTGGGGCAGTTAATTTCAGTACAGACTTTGCGTCTATTGTGTTTTCCTCCATTTCACCCTCTTTTTAGACCCTTATTCTTTCTCCCTGATAGGTGGATCACTTGGCGGTTGCTCTCCAAATCCGCGTTCCTGTGAATGTCCCATCCGCTTCACTTCTGAACAGTGTCCGTCTGGGTCGCCGTTTAATGACCTGTGTGATCGACAATTTGCTGTACCTTGACAGCACTCTGGGTGCCGATCTTTTTGCACGCCTATCCGCCTTACCCATATCTGACACACCTCCTTTGGTCTACCTGTGTATTGGCCTTTTGGACGACTCGGCTTTCGAAGTGTTGTCCGTCGGTCAAACCGATTCGTCCGTATTTTCAGCTTTAGCCGATTATATTTGCCCGCATGGTGGAACCGACCGCACCACGTTCACGTAGGTGAAGCCCTAATCTACTATGTTACTTGTAATGATGTGGGTCATTTCCTCTGGTCTGAATATTTGGGCAAAGGTCATAGTAACGCTCGGTTTTCTTTTAATTGACCAATCAAACGGTACGTGGCTCCCAAAACCCCGGCTACAACCCTTGTTTTTCTCTTCATTCTAAATAGAAATTTAGAGGAAAGCAAAACTCCTCTGTAACATCTATAAGAAGTCGGAAATCTGAAAACTGATCATGTGAACACGGTTAGTAAACCTGCTAGGACGATACTGTCGCTTAATTAGGCCCGCTTCAGGTAGGCCACTGGATGAATTACTGTGTGGAGTTTGTTGTTATCCTTCACCTGAATCTTCTGGTCGCTTGTGGTTTTGTATAGCAGTCAGTCACTTTCCACGCATGTAACATGCACTTCTCTACCTTACTCAGGCACGCACACATCCCATAAAACACTCTTCTCTCCCTTTTCTCATTATTTTTCAACAGCCATTTTATGCAAGGCCTTCTCAACATGGCAGGTTCGCTGGTCCCAGATTTACACACCACATTGGGTTTGGGTGTGACATTTTCGCCAAATGCCGTTCACCAACTGGAAAATTATCTTGTATCACACGGGATTCGCAAACCAGCAGCTCGAAGAACTCTACGTTTACTTTGTACTTCTGTTGGACGACCATCGGGAATTGATGTTGACAAGGCCGCTAAGCCGTCATCTAGTCAACCACAGAAATCTTTGGTGTCTTCAGTTCCGTCTCAGAGGCTAGATAGCACTGCCTCCCAAACCTCTCTGGAGCATTTGTCCTCAGAAACTTCAGTGGATCATGGACAAACTACTTCTACTACTGAAGTCTGTACACAAAGTTCTTACACTCAAATTCATCCGGGAATGGTTGCAGCGTACACAGTCGGGAGCAGCACTCGAAACGACACTATATTTGGAAGTTTCAGAGGTGAGGTTGGCGCTTCGATTTTACTCGTCCATACTTCATGGCATCTGTTCATTTTCTGGTCGGTTGTAGCTCATCCAAGTCAACTCGACTGCTTGCCTGCCTTTTAATTATGTATTGGTTACCGGTCACTGAAAAATATTGGTTGTTGGGTTTTCAAAGGTACTGTGGGACCTTGAAAGGTGCTGCAGTGGGATATATGTGGTGAAAACTACTGTAATCAAGCTCGAGATAGCTCATGGGTTAAAGCACAAACTTACTGACCGGACGGTCGACGGTTTGAATCCAGTCTCGACCTCATCTGTCTGTCATCTTTGGGTTACCTGGCAGTATTTCGGCCTTCGTGCTTCCTTCAAGGGACGTGGCAGCTAGGCGCTGAAAAGGAGTTGCAGTTGAACGACCACAGATATAATGCTGTACTGCGAATTTAGTGGCATAGTTTCATATGTAAAACACACGTCCTGTGGTTTACAGTTCCCTTGAAAACATTTTTTGTGTTCGATTGCATATGTTCGAGGGAATACTGAATTGCTGGCATCCGAAACAGATTCACCGGTTGAAGGTTCGTGAACCACTGAACGCCTACACACTTTCGGACGTTCCCTGATGGTTCGTTCATAGTCGGATGTGGTGTCGTATGCAAATCCTTGGCCTCTGTGTAAGCCTTGTAGAATAAGATCATCGGGCGAACACACCGATTCCAGTTCAAGCAGCCTATCGTGACGGTATAACGATTGTTTACAATTATCGGGTGGGCTGGAGACTACTCCAATGATACTCAAGACCGACCCATTAGGGTATTTGTGTTTGCATGTGATCAAGGCTGTACGACAGGGGCTGACCCTTTTCCGAATGGCTCGCTTATTTCGCTGCACTGTGAACGTCGCTTCGCAAGGCTTCCCAAGCCAGTGTAGATAGCCCTCCTTCAGGTTCTTCCACGATCTATACCGGCAGTTACAGTCTAAGTACTCCTTTACCATAAAATACACAGGTTCATCCGATAAGGTTTTGTGTTCCAATTGCACAGAAACACCTCAAACTTTCCTTCAGATGAACGGAGAGAAGTCTGCCTAACTTATTCCGCGCCACTCCACTCATCTGATAGAGTGGGCAACGGATTCCATTCATTCAAACACTTTTGAAACCAAAAGTTGAAATTTCACAAATGGCCTTGTGCACAAGTTTGAATGCCGATTTCGCTTTTTCTCTAGCTCGGGTCCCGTTCTCACGATTAACAAGGCATCCAGTTGACACGGTCGGTCTCGTTCCGTACTCGCAGCTCTGGTCCAGCGCACCGGACCTTCCGTCGGACGTCTCGGAACGATTGCGACGCATGCTACGTCAGTCTGGTGAGGCAGATAATCCGACTAACTTGACCGTCGGTCGAATGGGCGAGTTTTTCATATATCAACGACTGATGGACCTAATCGAGCGAAATCAGCAGAGGCACCACAATTTCGATCAAATTTCTGATTTGGAATTTCCAACAGGTCATCCAGCACTTGGCTCTGGTCGTGTTGTTCGGTGTCATTGGTGCAACGCGGATCTGGAATCGAGACGACCGTTTGACTTAGAGGTTGATGTGCAAGGTAATACTTCATTCTTCCATCTATCTCTATGAACTGGTCGTGCTAAATACCGGCTGTTCACCCTACAGATTTGATCGGCCACTGGAAAGCACAGCCATGCGAATGCCTATCCCCCCGTCGGGACTCACCAGGCGGGCATAGATGGTCCAGGGAACCCCTTGCCTTGCGGCTGTACACTTTTGACCTCAGGAAATGCGGTCGCTGACCATTGGAGACGCACACAGGAGCGCAATAGTCAGAAAGAAAAACTGAAAAACCTTCTGGGTTCAGACCATCTGGTCGCTCACGGAGCGTCATTCAGGTTCATATCTTTAGGGATTGGGGCGAGATGGCCCAGTGGTAAGAGCGCGAACGGAAGGTCCGTGGTTCGAACCTGACCTCTGCCTCTCGGCTTCTTCTGTCTAGGTTTGGGCAACCTGACAGTATCCCAGCCTTCGTGTTTCCTTTTGGTGGCACGGCAGTTAGACACCAAAAGGGTGCTACGGCTGAATGTTTCTTACGCTTTAGGGGGTTGGAATTAGTAAATTAGTAGGTAGGTAAATCCAACACAGTGTGTACGTTTGACCGTTTTTTCGTTGACAAACGCATCCAATAATATGCCTCACAGTGCTAGAGTACTCCTTTAGGTGAATTCAACCCTTCACGAGTAGCCTAGCAGTTCAAACAACTGCGCTTTGTTACTGTAACAAGTATGTTACTGTCGTAGGGAGAAACTGTTTTTTTTTCTGTCATGCACCAGACCCCTCACTACCTTTGAGGTTCTAAGTGGTGGCTGCTAGCTGGGTTTTCCCGTCAGTTGTAGGCTATTTGATGGTGGATTCCCAGCAAGAACTGAGAGTAATCTCATACTTTCTTCTTTCAGTGGAATGTGATGCCTCTCAGTGGGACGAGATGCTCGAGTCCGTACAACAAGAAAGAGCACAAAATGTGGTGCGCATAGCCCACGCACCATCCCGCAATCCATCCGAAAATCGCTCAACGCCCGGTCTGTTATCTGTCGGACCAATCTACTTGGAAGTCAAATCGACAGCCCGCAGCCGGCAGGATTCAGCAACCGATTTGTTTGAAATGTCTGTTTCGGAAATCCTGTGTGCGTCCCAGCAGGGTTGGCGATACCACTTGCTGCGTGTTGTCTGGGATCGGGAGGACACTGCAAATAATTCCATGCTACCGTCACTGACTGCCGCCCCATTCGTGACCCACGTCCCTGCTTTGATAGATGAACTTCGTGATCAGTCCCCGTCGCTCCAGCTTTGTTTGGCCATGTTGCGATCTCCCTGCTAGGGGTTAACCTTGTGTATAGTGTACACATTATTCACATGCATTTCGCATATACTCTTTCATTGATCCCGGCCTTTTACCTGTTGATGTGCATCTTCTATTCTTTTGAGCTGAAAACCGCCATTTTAAATCCATTGTCTATGGGATGAGGGTTCTCTTCTCAAATCATCAAATCCTGTTGACTCTTAATCACAAAAACATTGTTCGTTTGATTGCACTTGAGACCAAGATAATGTTTTTTGCCAATCCCGCGATGTAGTCGGTCGTGATCATGGTCGATCCTGATCACGGGAATTCAATAGCTTATTTGTTTGTATTCGTTTCTCACCAAGCTATTCAGGTCCGTTTAAATTTCCACCCTCCCTATCCGCTCCTACATATAACGGGGATTCTTATTTTTAACCGCCTTTTATTCATTATCAAGGAGTATGATAGTTGCAGTTCAGGTTCCGAACAAAATCACTGGTCGAACACCAGTATTGAGACGCTAGTCCTTCACTGCTACTTATTTTGAATAATGCTTTGATGCGTAAAGAAGATAATAGTGGAGAGGAAGCTAGTTCTAGTCCAGACGTCGCACCCTACAGGCAATCTGCTGGATAGAACCTGTCAGCGTGAATGCCATTGACTTTAAAGCCTTCAAATGGTGTTCTCATACAGCTTGGTGTTTCGTACAAAAACAATGACTTTGAATAAACAGTGAAAAGTCGATGCCTTCACATCTCACGTGCTCGCACTGTAATTGGAAACGCAAATGATATGGTATCAAAAGAGATGTATTATCAGACTCACCGGTTTCACTAGATGTATGTTACTCATCGCTTGAAATCTAACTGTTCATGTGGAAAACCGCCTACTTTTAAACTCATTCAAATTTGTTGATATCCTAATCTGTGGACGCACCGTACAAATGCAGTTTCCCCGAAGCCTTGTTGAGCATGACCTAGAGGACTGGTACAGTATGAAAGCGGCTATTTACTGAAACATTGCACATTAATCATTCAAGTTTTTATTTGTTTAGCTTTTCCTTTGGAAATCTCGTCATTAATGCACGGAGAATTTTGCTACTCATGACCGCCCCTTGTGTGCAGCTGCCGCACACCGCGTTTTTTAGTTGGCTTGCCCCTCAGCTTGAGCCCATCCTTAACCCAGTACGAAAAAATTCTGCCTCGAGATCCAAGCGAGTCCGACTGGTCAGTTGTTTCATACTGATTGAAATCAATTCAAAAAGTAGTGATCTTTGAGCGTGTCTATCGCGTATTGCCACAAAGGATCACAATTGTGGTTGCTGTAATAGCGCCGCCATTCTGCTTTTCAAGGCTAGAATACTATGCTGGGTTGTCCGGATTAAACTTTGTTCATTGAGTTTTTTTTCAGTTGCGCCTCCACAAGGGGTTTATCTTCCCCCTCACCCCAGTTTGCTCCGTAGCCGGATGGTGTTCAAACAGGCAATTAGGCTTCATCTCCGTGTATTTCACGAACAGACAGTTTATTGTTTGTACTGAAATCCTCTGATGCTAACGGCAGCGATGCGTCGGTGATGAACACTGATGTCATGTTGTCAATGATGATAATGTCAGTGATAATATTGAAATTTATAGTGTCTTCGATACATGTTATTCGGTTCACTGTGGCCCTCAACAGTCTTCGCTTTCCCGCATACGCTTCTCTTGATCCTTCCAATCCGCGTCCTCATAGATTAGCAAGGAATACAACTGTTTTCTACTCAGTATCATGATTTTGGACGCTTCGACATTGTTGAACTGTGGTGTTTTTAGATGTTTCAAATGCGCTATTGATTGCCTAATTTCGTGAGCATATCTAGTTGGTTTGCACCAATTAAGGACGCTAACACAGTAGGCACAGCCTTCTAACCTAGTGCTCCGAATAAATCTGTTGTCGCACCTTGACTCCTAAGGCGCGTTCATTTAACCTCAATATTTCATGCATACTTGGCAACTCTTTTCAATTTAGCATCCTACGCTGAGAGAGGGAGAGTTATTCAACCTTATCAGATGGCTCTGATAACACTGCATGAACTGGCGAAATACACTCATTTGCGAGAGATTCACCTGGAACCCAGCTGAATCTCTCGTTTGTGATGTAGTGCATTACGAATATGCATGTATCGCGATATCTCGAATGTCTTAGCGACTGAAACATGAGGTGGCCTGGTGCAGCACTTTCAGTTGTCTGGAAATATCACAAACGAGAGATTCAGCTGGGTTCCGGGTGAGCCTCTCGCAAAACCAAATTAGTTTGAAAATGAGTGTAGTTCGCTAATTTCGTGCAATTTGGTTTCAAGTAGGACACAACGTTGGCGGACAATTGGGGACTGCGCCTACCTGATAAGCCCCAAAAAGAGCTGTCGACGAATTTCAGCAACCTTATGAGTAGTGCGTCACGAATTGCATGAACTGCTTTAACTCGAATGTTGAAAAGTAGCTGGTCCAGCACGAAACAAAACAATTGATCTCATCGTTTATTTGAGGTCCTACATTCACTAGTCGCTGACTGGGTTGGGCACATTGTTATCGTTTGACCTGTTTTAAGTTTTCAAACCATATCTTCATCCCCCGCAGTTTATTCCGAATGACCCTTATCTACCATTCAGAGAAGCAAGAGCATACCAGAACCTGTGGCAAGGTCTAACACCCGGTTAGCTGACAAAGGTCCACTGCACCATGTGGTTTGACTTCTTTGCGTTATAAAACATAATATAAATCGTAGCATATAGCGCGTGGGTCCATACGTAAAGATTTTAAAAATAACTGACTGTTGGCGTTCTGTCTTATCTCACCCCAGCTATCAAGCCCCAGATCAGCGTTGTTTTTTCACATCCGTTGTGCATCTGCACGGTAAGCAGTGAGATGGAAACGATTAGAGCGAACATGTGCTTTACGTTGGGAATATCTGTTGTTCGGGCATGAGGGCGAGTTTTCTTTCAGTGGCAATTTATATCTCTCAGGTTGCGTTAGAGAATTGTCTAGTCTAAAGGGCTCATATCGTCTTGAAACCCTGCTGGTCCAGCCCAAATTTCCCCCTAAATGGTTGTATCCTTTCGTCAGAAAGGTATCAGGAGGTGGTAAATCTGACTTGCGAACCAATCAGTTTGATCTTTTCAATGGCATCAGTTGCTCGACGAATACTCCCATTTGCGGACGAATTTGATTTTGACAAGAGACTCGAATGAATTTAACTAAATCTCTCGCTTACGGTGGTCCACTTCGACTAAATGTGCTGCACCCGGTCCTCTCATGTTTCAGTTGACATTCGGGGTATCGCAAAACTTTGGTGTCTACCCAATTTGGGTTCAGGCATGACATAAGGCTGACGGAAATTCGGGGACTGCATCTGCCTGATGAGCTCCAAGGAGGGCGAAACCGGTCGTAGGTTGCCAAAGTCTACAGCAACCTAGTGAGTGGTGTGTTACGTCTAGGCATTAGTTGCTTTTCGATGCATATTGAACCGCCCACTGAAGGTGGTGTGTGGTATTTTGACGTGATTCGGTCGCTGACAAGTAAACAAGTCCTAATTGATCAGATGGCATACAACACACGGGCTAATCCGCCCATAACCGAACAGTTCAGGTTTCGGCAGGTACATTTTTGGCTCACTGCGCTCGTACGGTTCCACTTCACTGTTGGTTGACTCCATACTTTTCACTGTTTTAGTTTAAAAGGTCTAAAATCTCACCTGAACGCTAAAGGAGACTCATGTTCCCCAACGAGTTGAACACAAAAATGAAACCGGCTACTTCAGAGCATCAATGCTAAATGTCTGCCCTCGCAAACGTCACCTTTCCAAGGTGGTCAACTCTCCGGTCGTCTTTCGTACTCCAAGTTGTGTTGCCGTTGGCTTACCGCATATGATGATATCTTGAGATATGGTGAACTTCCTAGTGTCCTTCATCGCCTCTCATGTCGATGTTCCGTTGTGTCTTCTGCCCATCTATACATTACACGTCGTTTCAGTCTATAAATTAACCGTCAACCTGACCGGACTCGATGGCTTAGTCTTTCCGGTGTTCTTACGAGCGCAGTTTGTTCTTGTTTCAAAGCAAAAGTCGGCTGATTCCTTGATAAAATCAATGCATTTTGGCTTCCGACTCAACTGAAACATGGGACTGTCCAGCACGTTCGATTGATGAACTTAGACGACAGACATTTGAATCTCACGTTCTCACTATCCTAATGTCGTAATGAGTGCTTACCTCCACAGAATCTGTCTGTTTTGTTCTGAGAAAACCTTGTCGTTCATTATCAGTCGTTGCTTCTGTGATGTTTTCAGCGTGCTGATTCGGTTCTGCGAAGTGTCATCTACATGTCGATAGAAATTCAATTAATTGTTACTTGATATGATAGCCTGTTGGATATCAGCTGTCGATGCGCCTGTGTGCGCTAACCATTCGTTAATCAAATCACTGACTTTGGTAACGAGAGGGCAAACCGGCTTTTTCATCTTATCGCCCGGAAGTTTAACTGGTCTCTGAACCGTCACAGACACGCTCGATTCTTCAGTCCTCTTGTATCTTTTTAGTCGATTTTGGATGCCGTACCTGAATCCGAGAAGAATTTTGGAGCATGAACTTGTTGATGCGTATTCGTGACAATCTGGCGTTGGGTGACCAATTTGTCGTGTATTTTGCAGTATTGGGTTTTTGAAACTCTCGGTTATATCTAATTCGCCTGCATTCTTTACTCCAGATTTCACGCGCAGGCATTGAAGTTGAGGAGCGCACTCAAGTAACTACTTAGGCATGCGAGGAGCTTCTAAACGGAACTCTGACTTCACAAAGTTTGGCCAGTCATCTGAGGCTAACAACCCGGAGGGTCAGAAGCGCGTTTGCTACAATTACCAAAAGCCCGGTTACCAACGTGCAGAACGCCCACAAGTCGCCTACAGGGGAACACAATCTCGCCCTGATCGGACTGCCGGAAAATCTCTGTTTCTTGCTCGCAAAATAGATCGTGAGACCTCTGGTCCATTGGCTTCTTCAACGTCTGTTGTGAATGAATCCTTGATTGAAGAGCGTGTGCAACCTGTAGAGAGACGCTGCTTGCTATGCAGTCGTACGGATCACATGCTTCTCCGTTGTCCTTTTCGGGGAGGTAAAAATTTACCATCAGAACAAAAGACGAAGTTCACTGCATCTGTTTGGACTGATCCACTTATTGGGAGCGTAGACGCGGACGATTTTGGCATTCAAAACACGAAATCCCCTGGCACTAAAAAACCGCGGCTTCTTAAACTTACCTGATTATGGTTTTCTACGGAAAAGTGTACACATTCTGCTGGATCCATAAAACTGCACTTTTACTGCCCAAACCATCAACCAGCCAGTCTCTTGATCTGCTTACATCTCTTGACTCTCGCTTGCGTTATCCGTCGTGTTTTGAAGTGTTGGTTGCGGGTCTATCTCATTCCTGTGTTTCGCGATCTGATTCGATCTTTTGCCCCTATTGTATGGATGATCCTGTGTTTCGCGATCTGATTCGCTCTTTAGTAACATCAAAAGCGATCAACTAAATATATTTTCTGGTCAGCCGTGGTGAACAGTAAAGTCGATCTTTTGCCCCTATTGTATGGATGATTTTATTCGGTATACTTTTAACAGTCCTCTTGTCCATTTCGAGGACCCACGAGCACAGTTCATGGTATAACCTCACCTTAACGGCCTAATGTATTAAAGGAATAGTGGTCGATAACCGATGGCTCAAATTCTAACCTTTTCAACCAATGAAGCCATCGTTTCAGATGAGGTTCATAAACAATCGGTAATTTTTCAGCTGGGCAACGTTTCGCTTTTGATACAAAAGCTTCATCAGGCCAAGTGATCAGGTCAGGATTTAAGGCACACAGAACCTATCAATAAGACGTGCTACACTACTCATAAGGTTACTGAGAACTCTTCGACAGCCCACGATTAATTTCACCCTTCTTGGAGCTCATCAGTTAGACATAGTCCCAGAGTTCCCGTCTACTTGAGACCAAATTGCACGAAATTATCTAAGTACATTCATATTATGGCATTGGTCATCCGAAATTCGGCATTGGATCGTTAAACTCCCCTTGAGTTTCTTGGTTAATTGTAAGTCTTCGTGAGATTATTAATCATCAAGAAAATAAGGCAATACCATTGGTTCGGTAACGTAGCCCGCGTTATGGTCCGATTTCTTCATGTACATCACCCCCACAGGAAGACTGTCAGATGCATTTTTTTCGCTAATTTTGATTTGATAGTGTTGATTTTGCTGTGGTGGAGGCTAACCTAGCACCGTTCTGCAATCTGTGGTTTGCGCTGTATCTACGATATTTCCCTCGGTACTACTATGATAGTTTTAGCCTTGGCGTTGCAGTATTTTTGGTCCAAAGACCGTCCGCATAAACTGCAGTGGTTTCGGTTGTCTGTTCCTGTTACTGATTTTGAGTATAGCTCCTGGTTGCGTCCTAGTACATAACCCCACAGTGGCTATCTAATTTCGCATTTTTAATGAATGGGGTATGCCTCTTCGATTGCTTTGTAGTACGAAATTAAGTACAACGACCCCACCCCCCACATTTCATCCTCATCCCTCTAAAATGAACGATAAAAACTTTCCTCGGTTTGAATTTTCCGTTATAATCAGGAATGAGTGGAGAAAACAGTTTTGGAGGCCTCATTTCAACATGGGCTAGTTGGAAATAAACTCTTAGTAAACTCCGGTTTCGTATGGTGATAGATATCCATTCTGTTGGAATGTAAATCTCCCTCCTTTGTCCATGCCTGAAACTTTTCTGTTGGGTTGATGGACAAAACACTACTTTTAGGTTGCTGACAGCTGCTGTTTAACAAGTAGGAGCGAGAGGGCCCAAATGGTTAAAGCGCGAATTTACTGACCGGAGGGTCGGTGGTTCGAACCCGACCTCTGCCTCTCGGCTTCTCCTGTCTAGGCTTGGGCAACCTGGCAGTATCCCAGTCCTCGTGCAACCTTCGGGTGGCATGGCAGTTAGGCACCGAAAGGGTGCTACAGCTGAACGTTTATCAAGAAGATAGAGGCATCGGTCAAAATGTTGCCCAAATATTCGTTTAGGATGTAGCGAAGTGATGTATAAAGCTGTGAAAAGAAAAAGCCTGGAAGTATGGTCGAATATCTCCTGACAGCGCACCGTCTGGTCATCCCATAATCTTATTGCACCTATTCTTGTTGATATTTATGCGCCGACCGATTAAAGCCACATTTTTTTTCTATTGCTGGACTTGATGGAGTCTCGACCCCTTGACCCGAACTGGAGTTGGGACAATAAACGAATAGTCCGATAATTTTGTTGAGGGGCGTACAACTGCGATGTATGGTTGCACATACTGTATGTACTGTCTCCAGCCTTGGGATATATCGGCCTCAACAGTGGTTGGTTTAGTAGTTCCGGTAAGTGGGGATTCTTAATATTCACAAATTAAGTTGCTAGATGAAAGCTCATCCGGGGTGCTGGTGCGAATGGCCTGGACGAAGTCAGTGGCTCACCGTTGTACTGATGAACTCACTTTCATATCTTTTAAAGTCGGAGGGCTAATCGATCAGCTCAGTCAGTACGAATCTTTAATGTAGGGCTTGATAATAAACCCAAGAGGGTTTATTATCAACATTTCAACCCCTGTATGGTATGACACAGCCCTTTCTATGCCGTGGTCGTGTGTACTCCTAGCGAAGCCGAATGACCTGGTAACCTTTCGCAACTTTGCCTCTTCCTCATCTCTAGGGTGCTATACTCCAAGGCTATCGTAGCATTCAAAGAATGACAGAACAAAGGGCGTTTTCCCTACGTTTTGTCAAATAACTTTCATGATTTGTTCCTGAAAATTGCACCAGGAAAATTTTGTGAGCTGCCTTCGTGTAGAGTTGAAATCCGGTAGTTTCAGCCACATACCGTTCTTCGTAACATGCACATTCGTGCAGTCTCCTTGATTTTCCACTCAACGCGCACGGTCTGATGTATGTTACCTGCCCACGTCAGGTAACCCCTAGTGAATTTTTTCAAAGCTGAAGAAGCTAGTAAAAGTTAAGAACGGGTGTTGTGCAACAGTGTCCACCAAAACTTTCTTCGGAATAGCGAAAACTCATCACTGCAATTCATCGGATGACTACGAAGGCCTAGTGGTCCCTATTGACAACACTACTTCAACGAACTACCGCAGGAACTTCGTGCGAAATAGCGTTCCAACGGATCTTGTCCGGATCTAGTCCCACCAATTGATTTTGTAAATAAGAAAGATATTCTTAACTTTTCAATCAATTGGAGAAAGTTTGAAACTTAACTTCTGAACTTATTGAAATCACTCCTTTGGACAGTGCTTCTACCATGCTAACGCAATTATTTTATCTAGTCTACGCCATCCACATGTAATATTCTAAAGTGTCAGTTTTCGATCCCATACCACGGAACTGCTAACACTTCAAAGTGGGTCACAGAGGAGACTTCTGCGCGTCCAACCTGGATGAAATGCATTGGGCTCGATATTGATCAGTGTTTAAGGCTTCAGCTTACAGATCGGAAGGTCCGTGGCTAGAACCCAACCTCCACTGCTCTTGTCTACGCTTGGGCAACCTAGCAGTATCCCAGCCCTCGTGCCTCCTTCCGTTGACATGGTAGCTGGGCACCGAAAGTGTGCTACAGCCGAACCATTATTTTTATTATTATTAACTTGCATTCGAGGAGTATTTTATCATCGTTACCGACACCAACACCAAACAGGAACACTAGCGCTTCGCTTTCGTAAAACAGCATTTTAGCTGTAGGGCGTCCAATCATGGCTTTGAAGTATCTCAGATGTCAGTCTTAATTATTTTTATTTAGACACATTCCACGGGTAGTTTGTGCTGAAAAATTTTGTTGTGTGACGTTTGTAATTAAATTTTTTCTGAATAATTATGGTTTGCTATCGCGCACGGTTGTCTTAACGAACAAACAGAGACAGACATGAAAAATCTTCATACTCTAATGGGATTTCCTTCATTCTTGGTGCGTAATAAATGAGGCGTTGTTTTAACTGATGACAGTGAGTGGTCCACAGACTGTATTTATCTTTTAGAGTGTACAGAACATAAATACGCAGTCATTCTGCGTAACGTATAAGATAATGAGGTGTTTCAAGTTTTATCGGTTACCTCGTCTCCATTTAGCCACTTCCACATTATGTGTACTCATTATCATCATCCGCAATTAACTTGCCCTCTACTGGTTAAACTGCGAGTATATGTCACGAGTTTTGTACTGCTTAGCATTTTTCGCGTCACTTCGTAGATCTCGTATCAGTTGTTCTATCTCGCGTTCAAACATTCGAAACATAAGCACTTCAATTGATGCATGATCCTCGAGCGCCAGGAACGCCTTTGTTACCGGTGCATTGTGTGGGAATGCATGGTCCAGTTGTTCTCGTGTTATATGGAACCCAGGTGTTCCGTAACCGTAGATCCCACGCTTTTCCAGTTCGATATTGGCATCCATTTCAAGTTCCACCAGTCGTTGACGCACGTATGCTTCAAAGTGTGTCTGACGAGTATCGAATTCCAGCAGGAATGCTTCAATGATAAAGGCCAATATCACATTCAGTACAAGTATCACGCATGACCAGTGAATAACTATGAAATACACCCTGACCCAGCTAGATACAGTCAGTTGGAGCCCATCAGCCAGGTGGTGCCAATTGTTGCCCACAGCCAATGTAAATAGGAGCAGGTAGGATTCGGCCGCACTGTTGAAGTTGAACATACAATAGTGTGACTTCACAAAATCTGAATGGATCAACAGATGACTAGCGCAGCTGGTTTCTGGCGTATAATTTCCTGGCGGATACGGTGGTTCATAGGCATGGGCAAAAATCTCCATCCCAATGCAAGCATATATGTAGAAAAACATCATCAGAATGAGAAGGTAATTGCACAACGAGGGTATAATGACGACAATGGAATCTACTATCGTTTTAAACTTTGGTACTACTCGAATAAACCTCAGCAAGCGGAGTGTTCGGAGAATCAAAATGACTTGTGTCACACCTGTGGTTATTCGAATTCCCAGTACTTCCAAGCAGCTGTGTAACATGTTTGCCAAGAACGCCACGAAGACCACAATGAAATCGAACATATTCCAACCGCTTTTAAAAAACCGAATCCCACCGCAAAGCACATAGTTTATGGCCTGTTCGAACAGAAATATCAAGGTGAAGAACCATTCGGCTGCGTTTTGCAAAGATGGATATGGATGTAATAAAATGGCTGTTATTGCATTGGCCATAATCAGACAGGTGAAAGATAACTTGGTAACTCGGTGTTCAGCGACTCCTTTGAATAACTGAAATGGTGGTGAATAATACAGATCATAAAAACGCGGTACAAATTTCTGAAACTCTCTTCTGCTCAATTCCACCTCTTCGAAACGAGCTCTAATGTACTCGGCCAGTCTTCCGAACTCAGTCACATTCAGAAATCCCGAGCGACTTTTGTTCAGTAAATGAAAAATTACCCGCATTGCGTCTTCAGTTCGTCCTGGTTTTGCAAGCCGCAACAGACGCAGAAATGTCCCCTGACTGATACCCAGTTCACCGTTTGGTGTGCGCGTGCATACAAGGTGGAAAGCTTCATCCAATTTATTCTTCCGTTTCGCTACCACACTGACCACAGACTCACCGAGATGGGCTTTATAGGAATTGTAAACGCACGCAGTCAGTATACTCGTGAACAACCAGGTACTCAATGCGACCACAATAATGTACATTGTAATATACATCCGATCGTGTTCATAGGCTGGTACGATGACTTCGGGTGAATTAGCTGTGGTCGAAAGCACATAAAATTCCCAAAATATGTCAAGATATCCGGAAAAGTATGGAGTGTTGTTGGGATAGACCAACTTTTTCCCTGTTAGCACTGCATTTGCCACTATGCTGATGACAGCCACAACAGATATGCTCAGACCGAACACTGGTATGACGTCACAGGCTGTACGACGTAGGTTGTTGAAGGCGGCTCGTAGTCGCCGATTTCCTGGAAACGTGAGCAAAAGGATGGGACGTAGACATCGAGACCACTGCACGGGCACTGCGTTGGGGATGTTTTGGCAGATGAGATAGATAACCATGTCCAATGTCATCAGGACGAGAATGCCAAATGTTACTTTCATAAATATGGTTTCACTTGACTTTTCTTTCTCCGACATCGAATGGATTATGAACCAGCGGTAATAAAAGAAGATAAGGCACACCACATTTAGAGTCAGTGCGATCTGATACGGTGGTTGGTGGACTCGATTAATCATAAATGTCGAAGGATATTCTATCAAGATTGTTAATAGGTTAACTGTAATAAGTAAATAATACATCCCCGTCATCAGCTTGGAGTGGAAATTCTCATACAGCTTGAGTGAGACGAGATCTCGTTTGTATTTGATTTCCAGGCGCGAAACGCACGCATCTCGAACAAGAGATGAACTGAACAGAAATCTCTGGGCTCGTGTGCTGAGGTATATCTCATCTTCTTCACGGGCTTGACTGGCTATTGAACTTCGACTAACTAAATTTTGGAAGGACATTTCACTAACTCACCAACAAAGTCTGTGGGCGCACGTGCTGGCTGTGATTCGAAAGGATAGGTTAATCGATAAAATTGTGTGTGAGATTAGGTATTCGATGGAATAATGCAGGAATGGGTGAATCTGTGGTTGTATCTTTGATGTGCCACTTAACCTGTGAGCTTAAACGGGATTTACCTCTTCTACAGTCTAGAATTTAATGAGACTGATGAATGAGACCACTCATATGTTGTGCGTTTTGGTCACATCCAACCGGCGTGTGCGTGGGAAGTATACCAGCATTTCATGGAGAGCAATGAGTAACCTGATTGTTATTCTATTCTACTGTTGTAAGTAACTAGACCTATACAGAAAACGGGAAGGAGTTTCGTCGCTCCTTAGTTGAGCAGCTTTGTGTGCTGCCATGTGCATGCTTGGTTAGATCTTAGTTGAGCAGCTGCAATGTGTGCTGCCATGTGCATGCTTGGTTAGATGCCAGGACACCACAAGTAGTTCCTGCTTCTTCCCACTTATCAGCTATCTAACACCTTCGTTCACATTTTGGCTGTCGAGTGAGAGTGCACTTATAGTGGATTTCTATGCTCCTTGGAATTCACTTCACTGTGAAGTACCGAGAAATTTCTTCCGGTTTTCGGTCCCTCATCGACCACTTGCGATGTCCGTTTTCAGGCAGAAATATGTGAAAATGTAATTGAACTGAATAGTGTGTGTTATGTTTTTAATGATACACTTTAATTTGTCTGCTTAGCCGGACAATCTAGTTGAAAACGTTCAGTCACCCGTCGAATTGAAATCATCAGTGCATTGTAGATGAAAGCGATATTTTTCCGTTTGCCTCTAATTTCTACCCCGTTTTTTATCCTTTGGGCCAAGTCTCTCCCAGGATTAATATTGGATTAAAAAATTACCGACCAGACTGCTTAAGTCAGCGAACATTGCTTTACGGTGTACTGTCTATGCAGGTATCGAGTGTATCAGAATGATTTAGTTCATACGACATTTCTAGGAATCTCACTACTTCAAACAGCCTTATTCTTAAGAAAAATACAAAGCCGAAGAAACTTGTATATGAAAATGGTAATCACGTTGCCAAAAATTGCCAGTCCAAAAGGGTCGATAAATACCAGCACTTGACATCAGCTTGGTAATGTGTTCAACGGATATCCTAGTACTGTGAACGTCGTGACAAGTGGTTTCACTGGATGTCAACTGTCCTCTCCTCGAAAGTAACATCCTCCTTACAGAAGCTTATTGTTTCATTGAAGTTGACAGGTAATTATCTGGTTATGATAATCTCAATGATGAATGGCAAAAAAATACGCCTGGGTAATTTTGCTGGGAAATATTACCTCTTCAACTACTCGCTGTTCGATGGTTTGACTTCACGCTAAATAATTCTCAGTGAAAAGGCTAACAAGTTCCGTGTTTCCGAAACCCTTTAGTAAGATACTCTACATTGGCGACATTCTGTTGGGCATTTTGCCCTCATTTTCGTGTGTCTTCTCCCGCAGGTTGATGATAACCTTGCTCGGGGACGTTTTAATCACTCAATTTTCTGTAGGGAATGTGCAGTAAATGAAAAAAGAGAAAGCTTTCAGCTGTAGCACCCTTCTGGTGCCTAGCTGTCATGCCACCCGAAGGAGGCACGAGGGCTGGGATACTGCCAGGTTGCCCAAGCCTAGACAGGGAAGTCGAGTGGCGGAGGTCGGATTCGAACCGCGGACCTTCCGGTCAGTAAATTCGCGCTCTAACCACTTGAGCCATCTCGCCCCAGTAAACGGCCCTGCACCAAACCCCAAACGATTATGTTTCAGTTTCACCCCGAATCCGAAGTAATAACCAAATCATTGTGGGAATGCAGGTAGCACTGCCCTTGTTCATACTGTGATGTCCACGGGTATCTGTAGTTCATCTTGACCACTGCAAAATACTTTCATGCACAATCTCCACTCCGCCGTAGCTTCTCCATTCCTAGCTTTCGGTAATTCCCATGACAATCATAATCGCGTGCTATTCTGAACTGATGGTATTGTCCATACTTGTTACCGAAAATGTGAGACCTCGGTGTTCATATCCACTATCAGTTCCTGGCTAGCCAGTTACTCCAAAATTATTCCATTCTGTGTGAGGAAAGTCAAGGACCTCTGCACACAGAATTTTCGCTATTCTTCTAACTACTACCAAAATATCAGTAAGCAAACTGTGTAGGTTGGCTCCGATACCTGGACATTTGGTTGTTGAAGATGGCGCATTGTGACGTCACTGGACCTCATCATATTTGTTTGAATTTTGAGGCTGACCGTTGGAAACATCCTGTGCTATTTTGGCCTAAATTACTCAGTGCAATCTCCATGAAATTCCTGTGATTCTGGGACCTCCACCACTTGATGGGTACACAGCGACCCAACCAGCTGGTGGAATTTCAGGTAGGATGGTGTATTTGGCATCCTTTCAGCTCCAAATACATGTAGTAAGAATAATGTTGTCCACACCAACTTGTTCAAAAAACAGTACCTCCACTCAACAAATCCAGGGTAGCAGGTATGCAGATAATCAGAAGTTTGTTGTCGGAAAGCAGAAATTACATATTGCCCACAGTATGCAGCCTAACCGTGTGTCACAACTCCAAAACGTGTTATTAATCAACTCTGAATGTGTTGTGCTCACCGTGAATATGCTTACCATACTTAGTTGGTCTAATGCATTTTAGGCCCGGAGTGAAGGTAAGGTTAGGATGGTCCACTCGAAACTACCAAATATATCAGTGAACCAGCAGCTTCTAAGGCATTAAAAATAAATTTACAATAGAATATAAATTAAATAGGCATAAAAATATCAGGGCGAAATCCTTAAACTGTATGAAGGTGCGTTGATCAGTAGAACCCGGTGTGTTGGTGAGTACGCTTCACTTCTTGTCCAAAGACCGATTTGTGAGGCCACAAAATTATAGAGAACATTATGGCGAACACCCTCCATATCACTTAACTCATCCATCGAAAAGACAGTCGATCACGCCAACCAGCGGGAGTGCTATGATCGTCAGAAAGGAGTTTATAATTCTCACTCTTTCTGTCAGACTGTTAGTAACGGGGTGATTAGAAAACGGGTATTTGGATGTGCGACAGGTACTTCAATCGGGAAGAACATTCACCTTCATCGACCAAAATGACGGCCATGTGCTACACATGCCGAAACACCGTCCACCGAGGCGAGTTTTGTTCTCCATGCTCCCTTCAGAATGGCGCAAACCGTGAAGTGGGCAGCGCATGACTTGGCAGAGGGGCGTGAAGGAGATCACGAAGAGCTTGGGTGTTGTACGCCTTCCAGGATTGGGTCCCGTGACCCCGCCTATGCTTGGCTAGAGATGTTGCAATAAATGGTGGCTAATCGATGTCAGTGGCGTTCTTGCTGTCGGTTTCTTTCCAGATTGTCTGACTGAGTGCTTGGGGCGTAGGCACCTCGGAAACTTGACATGGTCCAGTACTAGGTCCCCTCCCTTACCCATTCTAGGGCTTTTATTATATATATGTATATATATATATATATATAACTAGATGAACGTTATGGTTGTACGGCAGTGAAGCATTAGTGTCAACACCGATGTTGTCTTTGATGCTTATCTGCTCACACTATCTTAATAGGATTTAAACTAATGAGATATTCGTGGAAGCTGTTCACGTTATCTCATTTGATTACAACAAAGCTTTCCCAAAAAACTTCCGGTGGACAATGATATCCGACCAAGTCAATTTGTTCGAAGTCCTCCATATAAATATTAGCCAAAACTGGGGATATTTTAGATCCCATTGCAAGACCTTGCTGTTGTGAGTAAACAATTGTTTCGATCGAGATTCATACACACTCTTATACCCTCAACTAATTCATCCACCGAGAACTGTGTCAGTTCCTCAAGTGTTATGTCTTCCAGTAACAACTTAGTTACCTCTACAGTCTATGGATGCCCAATGGATGTTCCTGTACACTGAGATAACGTCAAAACTCACGAGGACTTCGTCCATTTCCAAAGGAAGCCCTGTGACCTTATTGGCAAAGTCGTATGAATTCCTAATGAAGGTGCCTGACTTCCCCGTGAGTGATTTTATCATACCAACTAAGAATCTAGCTATCTCATGTGAAATAATACTGCCACCGGTAATTTGTAGGTAGGGTCCATCGGCGAGGTGTTGCCTGACCTTTTGAAGATAGTCGCTCTCGTTTATTACTAATGTGGCTTCACCTTTATCGGCCTTGGCAACGAAAATACTATTTAACTGTCTCAGTGTGTTCAGTGCTCTCCGCTCTGGTGGTGCAGTATTTGAAGCTCCAAGCTGTTGGGATTTTAGGACCGTGACCATTTGTACTCGTAGCTTCTCAGCTTCCGCTGACGGAATCTTTTGAAACAGCAATTCAAAACTAGGAATTATTACCTCTGCTCTTATTACTTTTCTGCTCACAGCGAAGTTTAGTCCCTTTTCTAACAGACAGTGTTTGTCTTCGCTCAGTGGCCTATCTAACAAGTTAACAACACTACAGTAATTGGCGGATGAATTCGTCCTCTCTGTGACCATTCTAGAGCCCTAAGTAATGGAAAGCAGTTGGTTGAACTTACGTATCTACCTATTTTTGCACTGCCGACCCTGTGTAAGATTCACTACTGTGGCTTTGGTGCTGAGCATTTGGAAGTCGGCGGGCCAGATTGCGGCCTGAAAATCTTGGCTGTGTTGACTGGCGTGGCGGCATAAATCGGTTAATCGCTGGGTGGTCAGGTAAAGAATGACGGCCGCTGACAAAGCAATTTTAGAAGTAATTGACGTATCCGGTGTGTTCACAATCAGGGACGTGGGAATGATATTGTGCTTTAGGCATCTAATGTTGAATACGCGATGGTTTTTCCATTCTGCCTCCAGTCTGTCATTTAATGATACCTGATTATCCCAGAACGTGATAACTCAGTCGTTTTGTGTGCAAATTATTTAGTCAAATTGTTAAATACTAAAACCTCCCACAGGCGAGGTAGTCTGCGGTTAACGGTTCCGGAGAGCAATTTGTCCAGGATAGATTTTTTGATATAATCGACTATGGCGATAAAGTGTTACCCAAGACAAGGTGACAGCCGAAGAAATAAGTTAGTAAACACTCGAGCAAAAAGAGTCCCGTGCAAAGACAACTGTCTTTTGGTAAAATTTCTTCTCAGTAAAAAACAAAATCGATCTGAGTATGATATGCTTTGAGTAAATGATTCTGGGTATAAACAGGCCGCGATAGGTTGACTTACAACGAATCGATAAGACACTTAGCTCCCTGTAGCTTTCATTCATTCATCAGTGAATGAACGCAGTGGGTTGATGTCTTTCCACGATCAGATGTTTCATAACCCTCGAAACTAATTTTCGTGAGCTGGATACTGTAGATGAGTTTCATTAGGGATGAAACAGTCGTACAGTGCTTATTAGCTTTTCAGCATACTCTGGCTTCATTTCTAGCACAGAATCTTCATCGAATAATTTCAAACCTGCTCACATCAACAATCTTAAGTGGCTCGAAAGAAGAGTAATTCACATGATGATTGAAACTTCCATCTCAGTTGTCACTTGAGGAGCTGGTCAACATGTGACCACATTATCTGAGAGACTATATATATAATCGATTGGAACTAATTGAGAACTAATCACACTGGTGGTCATTCGTTCGTGGCTGAACGGTCAAGTGTTTAAAATACTAAAGAGAATGTCGAGGGTTCGAAACTTCCGGTGGGTAATTGAGATACGCATTGCTGATTTTCCCAATAAGGACGAAGCAGCTGTACACTGCTTATCGGTTTTTCAGTCCAGATTGGTTTTACTTACAGGTCAAAATCTCGTGCGACAACCTTGCAGTTTTTTGGCCTTTTGTCTGTGAGCGCGAGAATGCGTTAAAGCCTCAAATCAACATTATGAAAACGAGTAAATGGACCCGATGCACTGGCATGTGATGTCCTGAAACTCCTCTCTCCTGTTTGATCACTTTTCAAGTGGGATGACATGTCACAAATAGTAGTTAATCTTTCATCTTCTCTCCATACTGTTAATTTAGCTTAAACGCATAGTCTATAGGTACTTCGGACGGGCATTCAGCTTGGCCGTGTTGATAAAGTCACAGCTGACAATTTTGACAAAGCTGTCACGTTCTGTACCCCAAACTGAATGATAATTTATAACCTATCACTTTCAAGGTCAAACCTCAACTTTCGAATTGTTGAAAGTACTGCTTACTACTGCACAGAATGAATGTCTATTACCTTTTGGCTACTTTTCGACGAATCTGTTCAGGATATTCATGTTTAAGCGGCTTGAACCTGAAAGTGGGTACCGTTAGAGAAAGATTATACTCCGGGGTTGCTTAATGTCGTCCAAATACCGATTCTTCCAATACTGTCTTCGTTCAGTAGGCTGGACCCTGGGTGGTCTTTCCGCCTTTTCAAATCGCAACAATGAAGAGACCTTGAAGTACACTTGCTTCAGAAATATCGGCTTCACTCGGACACTGCTACAAATTAGTTGTTTCACTAGCTTAATAATAGCAGCGAACGAGTCCCACATGTATATGAAATGGTGTTGATTTGGCGAAATACACTCATTCGCAAACTAATTTGGTTTTGCGAGAGACTCATCTGGAACTCAGCTGAATCTTTCTTTTGTGATGTTTCCAGGCAACTGAATGGGCTGCACCAGGGCGTCTCATGTCTCTACAATATTCGAGATATCGCGGTACATGTATACTTGTAATGCATTACTCATAAGGTTGCTGAAAATTCGTCGACAACTCACAACCGGTTTTACCCCTCTTGAGGCTCATCAGGTAGGCGCAGTTCCCGAGTTTCTCGAATATCGTAGCGACTGAAACATGAGGCGGCCTGGTGCAGCACATTAAGTTGCCTGGAAACATTACAAACGAGAGATTCAGCTGGGTTCCAGGTGACTCTCCCGCAAAGCCAAACTAGTTTGCAAATGAGTGTATTTCGGTAATTTGGTGCAACTTGGTTTCAAGTAGAACATAAGTTTGACGGACACTCGGGGACTGCGCTTACCTGATTAGCCTCAAGAAGGGCGAAACCGGTCGTTAGTTGTCGGCGAATTTTCAGCAACCCTATGAGTGGTGTTGATTTGGCTTTGTGTAGGTTTTATTTGGGATTAGGTCACCGACAATCAACGTTTTGGTTACTCAATTCGAACCAGTTTCCTAGTCAAACATTCACTCCACTGTTTTTGCTGATATTCATACGCTGCCTTACTCTTCAAACTAAGGTATCAGATTATTCGCTTGTACCGCATTTATCAATTTTGCTTCCAATCTGCAGAGTCTTTTTTCTGATATTTCGCTTTTTTGCAGCATCCGGTCAATTTGTTCAAAGAATCTCCCCATGCATGTATACACAGGCAGGTTTAGGACATTACTGTCAATTGCCAGGCCTTATGAAATGCAAATATGAGACCAAGGTAACTCGGAATTACCTATTTTTTGGCGTTCACCAGTTAGAGCCCCATTTTTAGTCGGTTGCATTAACAATTAACTAAGGCCTGCAAGCTGGGAAAAATCAATGCCGTTTTATCAAACTTCGGTTCTTCTCAGTATGCGCAAGGTTATCTTGAAAATTCCCATTACGTGCCGTCTCATACCGACTTTATACAACCAACGGCCCTACAACCCGATAAAGTGACGGTAATCAGGGATCCAGTACCATTTTTCGCCATTTATAACGCATAAATAAATCAATAAATCGCCCAAATGTAGCACCGTTTTGGTACTTAACTGCCATGCCAGCAGAAGGAAGCACGAGGGCTGGAATACTGACAGTTTGCCCAAGTCTAGACAGGGGATGTCGAGAGGTAGTGGTCGGGTTCGAACCACAGACCTTCTGGTCAGTAAATTCGCGCTGTGACCACTGACTCATTTTGTTGGACGATTGGAGTGGTTGGCTTTCAGGGCATACCTTTTCTAACCCTTGATCAGAGACCGAAGTCTACATCCAAGCCACACTGAAGAAGTTTGTCTGGCAGCAGTTTGTTGCATGCGGCCATTAAACTCACTCCCTCCAAAAACACAAAAACATAGCGGGGATGACATCCATTCTTTATAACAGTCCTATCCCCGCAGGCGATAACGGGGATCTTACCCCTGAAACAAACTGGATTCATCGGCATTTAAATTACATTTGGCTGCCTGACCTATAGATTTTAACTAACCTGCTGGTTCTACTCTTAGGTGAGATATATAAGCCGTTTTTCATAGTATTCAAACCTGGCTCTCCATTCTAATTTAAATGCATTGTAATGCGACTTACTGAGGAGTTCTTTTCGATAGGGTGCCGCTCCCTTTTCGCTACACGCCAAACCCTCTGCTCGTACGCACACAACTTAACATGAAAGCACCAAAGTATGACGATGGTTTATGAACTCGGATGGTACTACGAAGAAAGCATGCGCCCAACCAAATGCAGCTACTTAAACTGCACACCCACTTCTGCACACTATCCACTGATATCTGTCAGCCTAATTAACTTTGTATGACTTCCACAACTGGTTGAATTTAATTGGATCCAGATATTCACGTCATCAGAACCTACAGACGGGAGTTTAATGGGTTCTGAAATGATGAGTCTAGATCTAATGCCTGTGTATGAGAAGGACGTGTTTGCCAGGTAACCCATCGGCCGTATACGTGACCTTATCACGATGAAAATTGCATCATTGCCCCTGTACCTGTTATGCGGCTGTTTCTGGGCAGGGAGTCACATATCTTATCAATGGGCAGCTGGATGCATGGGTTTCGGCACAGTGATTCACTTGTTGAGGCGAGCAGTCATCGTTTAGCGTGCTTATGGTTTATTCTAGCGGCCACCTGACGTTTGACGGAACAACCGTTTGCATACGAACTATCGCATATAAGAGATTCGATCGGAATAAGAATTAATCCGTTGTCTGCAATACTCACAAAAGGAGTGTATGGTGTTACGGCTACCCGAGGTTTCGGTTCGGTGGTTTTATTTTAACAAAGTGTTTTTCCTTCGTAAGTGATACTACGTGCAATATCAGCGTTATTTATTACTGATAAGGATGTACAAAAACAAATTTTCTGGTAGAAACGTGCTGAAGCTTTCCTGAGTGGCAAGTCGTGATGCACTTGGCCGTCTAATTAGGGACTGTTCCCAAAGGTAAGCACGAGCTGGATTTATTCTTACTGTTCCAACATAAAGTAGCCCCTCAACAAGCTCGATTCAAAGAAAACAGTATTTCAAAAAGGTTGAGCCACATGTGGTGTATAACATGGAAATTTTAAAGTTAAAACAGTGTAGTGGAACAAGATGCATAGTCCGACGTTTCGGTTGTCGGCATTTTATTCAAGAGACTCTCATGGGTAAATATTTTCTAACTGAAAGCTTCATGCACCCCGTAAAAACCACTTAGGACAAATGATCAGAAGTAAAAATGGGACAGTTTTGCTGTTATTTATACGCACATCCATAATCGTTTTTCCATCCGGATTCGATGTGGGTTGGTTCATTGTTCTCTCCTAAGCACGTGATGTTAGAACGACTGTGAGATGCACGTGACCTGAAATTCTGTCGTCATGGTGATGGCCACCTTCGATCACGCGACTATGATCCTTCTTCAGGAAATTTCGTCCCAATGTTACCGAAACGAAACGGCATGTTCCTCGCAACTTATTGTCTCCATAATACACTATCTGATCTGCAGACGAAGTCGTGGGATCATTATCTAAGAGCTGATCCGCACCGAACACATGTGAGTCGATCCAGCTGCTCACCATTCCAACTATTCGGAGTTCGAAAGAGGCACTAAGTTCGGAAACTACCTTCCTGGTGTCTTATCACCGGGGTACCATGCCAGGACGACTGTCCTGCTAGAGATTGCAGCAGATCGAGTCACGTCAAAAACAGTCGCTGTTAAACACGACACAGTTGACTGATGTCTCCGGAAGGTACCACTGCCAACCATCACCAGTCGTACGCAGCCTACCAGTGCTGTGAACGTAGCACATGACGTCTGAAATTTGACGCAAGTTGTTTTTTCTCAGTCGTGCGAAACGGAATGGGTGTGTATGGGGAAAAGACGATCCGCCATATCACCGAAAACACAAGCTTTCTGGTGACATCAGCACACGAATCTGCGTTCTGTGAGATAGCCGCGAAATTTCACACTTCCTCGTTGTATTTCCAAAACCATCGAACTGAGGTACACTGAAGTGCTTCACAAACCAAAGCAACCTATGCCACCCAGTCAATTCCGGAAGTGTCGTTCTCACCTTAGAGGCTGCTGATGAGTGATTACATCCCATCTCATTTGTGGTTGAAGTTCCTGTCAGGCAGGCGAAATCCTCGATTTTCAGTCAGTATTTTAGCTTGAAAACCCCTCTACACACCCGCTTACCAACTGATTGCGTACCTAACTTGTGTGAATGAGTAAGTCAAAACGGTCACGAATGAATTTCCGATGCATGATGTTCGCCAATCACACAGACCGATCTTTAGGATATCGGAGTATCATTTCCTGTAAATTGCATGACAGAGTTGAAGTAAATTTACTGAAACTTCAGCACCTGCCGCGCCGCATGCAGGTGAGCGCAGTTCTCGCGTTTTGGTTAACTGTTCATCCTACATGTACACTATGTACTGACCCCGTAAATCACTTGTCCGTGGTAGTGACGTGAGCATAGTTGCCAGAACCCGTTTATAGCACCTAAGCGTTGCTTATCCGATAGGATGCTTCGAAGACATCGATGATTAAAGACAAGCAATATTCTGTCGTCCTCAATGCACACCGGTCAAACCTCAGAAGCGTAAACCAACACGACGCGACGCTGCGTTGCACGCCCCGCTCATCACCGACCAACATGTATCACTTCCATTCAAGAGCTGCCTCAGCTGAGGGAAATTAAAACCACCTTTAGCGATTAAGCACTAACTTTCTCATACTGTCATCCGACATGGTACAACCACCCAGACTCGTAAGTCTATCTACTGTCTCCATTGGCTCTGATACCATAACTAACTTTGTTGGTGACAGGACCTCGTACTTTGAAGGTGCAAATAGCACATCGAATGGCATTGCAGCATTATGTATATTATTCAGCGTAAGTTGTATCTGGATGCCAGCACAATATCGCCCGTTTTTAAAGACTTCCCTGGGAAGAAGCCCCACTCCATAGTTAGAAAACCGCGAATACTTCCTGGTCAAATACACTTACGCACCCACGGGTGTTGTAGTTTACGGATTAGAGAAGTGTGAAAAAGTCCGGCAAACCCATGAAGGACAGACAGCGCTACAAATCAGCATGATGGACTAAATCGAGATGCTGCTTTTATGCCTAAAAAGACAGCAATTGTTGACCTTCTCTCTCTCTGTTGTTGTAAACGTGTGAACGAAACCCTGCTTAATTTTCACCGGAATCTTTCTATCGAGAGCTAATAAGCCCGCATAGGAAGATACCCGTGAACGACTTGGGGGCAGCGTTGTCCAAACTGATCCCCCAATGTTTCTCACATTCTGACGTAAATAAATCGTTCATCTGTAGCAACCTGTCTATGCCTAGCTTCCGTGCCAACGGAAGGAGGCAAGAGGGCCGGGATACTGCCAGGTTGCCCAAGGCCACACAGGCCAGTCGAGATGTTGGGAATGGGTTCGAACCACGTACCTTCCGGTCCGTAAGCTGGTACTTCAACCACTGAGTTCTCCACTAAACTATTTCTACTCGGATGTAAGACCTTTTAGAAAACAGGAATGACAGATAGCCACCATTCCTCCGGCGCTTCATTCTTCTTCCAAAGGCTCTGCATGAGTTTACTCACACGGTGAACGGATCCTTTCCCTCCATCTTTAAACGAGAGATATGGAACACAATCAAGACCATATGCTCTGTTTAGCCTCAAAAGTCAGACTTCGTACTCAACTCCAACTTCTTTTGGGACAGAGTGTAGATGTCCTATTGTGGAGCTGCCAGGGCGTCGAACGTCACGCTCTGCACTTCAGGACAGCCTAATTGTTCCTAGAAGTGCTTTTCCCACCGAGGTACTTGGAGTAAATTCTTGATTTGTCATTCTCTGAATTCACTTTATTGACCGGCAGTTTCCTTGGCTCGGTGGGCCAGATGAATGGGAAGAGAATTAGACTGTTTCCCATCATCGCCGCATTCCTTGGCCAGGTCATTATGCAGATTCCGGGCCAAGCGCGTCTTCGCACTTCTACTCGCTGAATACTGCTGACATACGGTAGGACAATTGTCCTAGATCAAAGACACGGAATACCGTGAAGTCCAACGCCAAATGTACTGTGGAACCGTTTAAGGACGCAAAAACAGCTAATGTAAATTGCCTTGGTTTCGAACCAGTCTTTGTCTGACCGACAGGTCTGCTTTCAGTGCACAAGTTGACTAGGCAGCCGTTGCTGACAGACTTCTTCCATGAACAAATCTTGCAGGCGGTGAACATGATAGCGATTAACGGTCTTTAGTCTGTGAGAAAACGACCTGCAAAATCGGCACGAGCCACGGCATGATCTGATCTTGTGCTAGTGACCCAAAAATAGGGGAGAATCATGAACACAAGATCGTCATCTGTAGCAACTTGTAACGTCATCAGTCCAATTCAAATCAATTCTTCCTGTGTGAACCGCGTGCCGTGGGCACATTGGTTCCAGCTGCTACAGTTTCGATTACCGGGAACTGGAATAGTGTGGGAAATAGAGTCAAGCCTTCGAGGTGATGGTACGCTGTTAGTTTTGGAACTGGGTAACTACTCACTGAATGCCATAGCTTTGATGCACGGGCGTCAATGACTGTGCGATTGGGCCATTTTTGTCAGTTGTACTTGTCTTTGGTGAGTTGAGTCCCGGGGTCCCCGTCCACGGAGGCAACAGCTGTCGACTCGATTCAGTTTACTGGTTGGTGTTTTCACATCCCGTTATCACGTTATGCACTGTCCACCTCTCGGTCACTTCCGGTCAGCACGAGACTGCGTGCCAGACGGTCTTGTGCGATGAGAAGTGCATGTCCTATCCAGCCTAACTTATGGAGTATGGGCTATGCACTTATCGTGAGAGTCGCTTCTTCTTAAGTACCTCAGCATTACTAATCCGATATTCCCGATCAATGCTTCGGAGAAAACGATCATTAAACACAGACAGGTTTCGTATATCCTGTGCGCGTACAGGCCACGTCTGCGATTCATAAGGCAGCAGGGGTCGCACCGCTAGTGTAAACTCTGTCCTAGACAGACAAAATGAAGTCAAATTGACGCCATAGGCATCGGAGGTTGAAAAAAACCATCCTGGCCCTCCTGACTCAAGATGTGATCACATCTACAGCCAGTCAACCGGAACTCCTACCACGTCGATTGGCTCGTCTCCAAGCATGATGTTTCGGTTTGATCCCACCCAGTCTTGTAGCAGCACTTTGCCCTTTGCGGTGTGTGAAATGCATCTTAAACCATGCGGAAAAGGTACTTGGTTTATTTCAGATGATTTACATGTCGCCAGTACGAATGCTCGTTCCACCATGATTTGAGAACGCCGAGTAAGGCAACGTTCATGTTCGAGGTGAAATTTCTCCAACAAATGATGACTAGTGAACAATCATGGAAAGTGATCATCGTCAGCGGTTCTGAAAGCAGGCACAGTCTTCCGTTGAGACGGCTTTCAATCACTGGATTCTTCCCACCATTATTTCCACAGATAGGATAACACGGGCTCAGCTCCGCTGGCCTGCAACCATAATTTATTTAAAAATCTTATAGTAAGTTAAAGAATAAAGCTGAATGAGAAAGGGACTTGTTACTAGCAGGTGACAATCACTCCCAGGTGCCATTCAACGCAACACATCATCTGAAGTCAGTTGAAACTGAATGTGCACACCAAGGAGCTTCGTGCATCCGAAAGACCGAAGTAATGAAAGCGAATAGTCCTGGAGAGGCCCGTAGGCTGTTCCACTCAATTTACCCGAGTTCCTCGGAAGCCTCTTGTCAGCGAAACTAGCAGGGACAATAATGGTTCCCTGATATCCAGCAAAGAACTTTTGGACCGAACAATTCAGTTTGCCACCTGCTACCTCCAGTCTGGAATACGGACTTTCAGCGGGAAAGTGGACCGTGAATAAGGAGGCCCCTTCTACTAAGATGTCGTCGTGTATCTGGTCCTGACGACCTACCACCTGTTCTGTTCAACGATGGCGATAAATTCTTGTCAGTGCTTGTCTAGCCTGTTTGCATCCATCTAGGTTGATAGAGCCTATCCTCAAAGAAGGGCACTGGTGAAAGAAGGTAGGCTTTCGCTGCGGAGTTATTTATTGGAAAAACCAGCTGCACAGTTACAGACTATTGGACAGGAGAGCAAAACACTCATATGCATCTTGTTTATAAAAATTGTTTATGTCTTCTTCTCGAACGCGCCTTTCTGAACTTTCCTGGATACTCATTGACAATCATTCAAACGTAAGCAAATGCTACAAAGCGATTCCACAAAGTTCGTAATAAATCTCACTTTTCAATAGACGAGAAGCGGATTTGAGAAAGCCACATACTACTCACATGCTTCATCAGTAGTACCCACCGTTACACTGGTAGTGGATGTAGTAATCTCAGGGTCGTCAGTTTGACTCCTGTTGTAATTCTGCTTCTGCGGCCACTGATCCTTTGTCGTCTTACGACAGCCAGCGGGACCTTGGCCCGTGAGCGCTAGGCGAGATTTGGACTGGGTAGAGGCTTCGTCGACCACATCTTCACATTCTGTCAGGTCACCTGCACAAACGACCCACAACCTTGGTGTTCTTTGGATGCAAGGTGCAAATAATCCGGTGACTATATTGACCTACATCTGGGCGTGTAACAGTATCTGGTGGGCCTTCTAAAAGCCTCCCTAAAAATGGTGGCGTTCGACAAGGATGTCCACTCTCTCCATTCTTGACCGCCTTCGTCATTGACGAAATAATCAGCTTAACACTGGGGTTCAGATAATTTTTGCTGAGAAACCTCTGGATCTGGAGCACACAGACAGTATCGTCTTCATGTTTGAGGATGGAGGCAAAACACAACCCTGTGGAATAAAATTACAACCATAAACCGTATTCCGGCAGTGCCTTGAATCTTCAAAGAGCAAAGTGGTGCTTCAGAACATGCATTTTCTGAACATTTCCCTTACACTTCTAATAGAAGCGAGAGTAAAAGCATATTTTCATACGGTCACAATACATATCCTATATGGATAACTGGTTTGAGACGTCATCAGGTTTTTTAACACTGATGTCTTACAATCGTTGCTGATGTCCGGTTCACGTTCAGCTGTAGCACCCTTTCGGTGCCCAGCTGCCACATCACCCGAAGGGAGCATGAGGACTGAGATACTGCCAGGCTGCCCAAGCCTAGACTGGAGAAGTCGAGAGGCAGAAGGCAGGTTCGAGCCACGGACCATTATCAGTAAATTCACCCTCTAACCACTGAGCCATCTCGCCCCCAGGTGTCCTATGGCATCAATTAATTGGTAACGAGGTGATTAGAGAACAGGCATTTGGCTGAGCGGTGCTTCGACCATGCCTACACATTCCGTAACACCGTCTAATGAGCGAGCGTTATTCTCAGTGACTCAATCGGAATGGTGCAAGCTGCGAAACGTATAAAATGTGGCTTGGCAGAGTGTTGCCTTCCATTCCCAATTCAAAGTGATGCAGGCAGAGTTGGCCAACTTTTGACCTGAAAGAGTATGAAATAGATTACGAAAAGTTATTGAACACTGACGTTATGCTGTCCGATGTCCTCAGAGGTTTCATATCCATACAACAATACAACTCGGACTGTAGCCCGTTACACACGTCCACTCAGATTCATGGATATGCCGTTTCACAACCAAATGTATCTCACGAGCCACCATAAGGCCACAAACCATGCCAAGAATCTCATGGTGACTGGGGTCAAATTGATCTCCCTATGATTGCCAAACGCACTACGGGGCCCTTTTTGAAGGTGAGCACCATCACCGGTTGTCCCCAGTTGTCTGAGACGGTCAGGTTTTCCCGTATGCAGGTAAATAGATCAGATGAGCGCTGACTGGAGACTTCACACCCACCCCTGAACAGTGACCGTGGGAAATCATCCGGTCCAGCAGCTCGTTGGGACTTGAGTGAACATACGCAGTCATCAGCCTCCGACCCGGTCGTGCGAATCGGTCAGAATAATTTTCGCACGTCGCGCAACCTTTGAAATATCGTCATCATCTTGGTTGACCACTCCTCATGCAGCCAGGCGATAGGTCATCCAAGTATCAACCGCTAGTAGAAGAAATTGACCTCCTGAACTGCAACTCATACCATGCAAACCACCATCATGAATATCATGGACAGCATGACATCAGTGTTCAACACTGATGCTTCGCTGTCGTAGACACTATGCAGTTTTTGCATACACTATGCAACAATTGCTCATCGAGATGGAACAGTCGAAATCGTACCTCTTCGCTATCTAGCCGCAGCGTTCTCAATCTGCCTGCATTCAGTAGGGACACCTAACATTCAAATGTGATTGAAACAGCCGGACGTCAGCCCGATAACTCTCATGCATCTTAACCCTCTTTGACACCGAGTTACCCTGAAATTATAGAACAGCAGCGACGCGTTCAATCCTTCAGTTTGAGAAACAGGGAAGCTTGCTTCAGTACAGTATGTTTCATCTACATCAGTTCATGCGTGACCATTCAAACGATGCCGGGTTGGGTGTCATGAACGCTGTTATCGCGCTACGCACTCGTATTACGGTGGCTTGTTGCTCCCATTTGGGTTTGTTGGGAGAGTTTGACCTTAAAAAAAGAAATTCGATCAGTTTAGCCCGCGGGATAATTAGAGACTCCAGCCCGACCACCATATCAAGATGGTGACGATTAATCAGTACACCACAAACTTTCATCAAGCTTTTTTCAAAACGTTCTTTCACGAAATTCACAACGTGCACACAATCGCAGCGTGAACATCGAATATTTGGACCCTGGAGAGGTCAGGTTAGAAAACGGGGATTCGGTTGGGACTAAGAAATGCCTTACAGTTAATCACCCGGTTCGACTTAGATAAGAACTTCGATCACACACAAACAGGCAAACAGAAATTCGCCTATAGATTTCGTGATCAGCCAATGAGAGATACCAAATGTCTTATGGATAATCTAGTACGATTCCATTCAAACATTCAAAGACGCATCGTGAGGGTGGCTCACACGAAAGAACGACGGGTTGCTTTGTATTGGCATTGAAAGTAACTGAAACCACTGGGAAAATAGTGTTTCCGCTAACAGTAACTCAACGAGATAATTAAGACCATGAGCTGCACCAGAATCAATAAATTTTCTGTCGACGAAACGAGCGTCGTCGTCGAAAAGGCCATAATAAGGGCTCGATCGATTGGATACAAACACACATAAAGAAAATGCGGGTGCTTGTCATATGACCGACTTACACTTAGAAGTGACCCTGATCAAGGTAGTGAACTAGACGTTCATACGATTTCGTTAATGCCAATCAGCATCCTCTTTCTGATAAATCCAAATGTGACACTCGCCATTATCAGTAGGGACAGCAATAAATCGGCAATGGAAATAGCGGTTTACCTACCACACAAATAAGATCCTAGTAAGGAGTGAACAGGAAGGGGAAAACAGGGGATTACTTCAAACTGTGTCCTTAGGGGAATCGGTCTCGAACATGGTGTCTGCAATTCTCACAGCCTCCTCTGAACACCTTGTTGGGGGTCAAGATGCCATCGGCTGGATTGATTAAGCATCCCTTATGAAACCTCGCCCAACATACACTACACGACACAAGGTTCAACCGGATGCTCTGCCTTGGAAGTGACTGCAGGTGCAGCAAGGTTATGTCGAGTTCTTTTCCGATGCAAAGGTTACGGCAACCAGTAACTGAGTTGGTGTTTACTATAAAGGCCAAGCTGAATGACAGTCAGCACTAGCTAGCCATGTATGTCTAGGATGTGAGTGGTACGGGCCACCAAATGACCTTCCGCGTGCACTGGGGCTCAACTGCTGATATGTGTTAACTGGAATTGACAACTATGGATCACTTGCTGGGCATGTTGATGGCCCTTGAACTACCCCCTTCTGTCCACCCTTGGGGCTAATTTCCAGGGTTTTATGCCAGTGCGTTCAGTTGGGTACACACGCGGCTCAGCGCAAACAGCATTCGACACGGCTCATTGTGTACCGGGATCCGCAGACATGGATTGAGGACGCAGGCCAATCTGACGGCGGATGGCAGCCCACCATATATGCAATAATAATTATAATTATAATTATAATTATAATCGTTCATTTGTAACACCCCTTCGGTGCCTAGCTGTCGTGCCACCTCAAGGGAGCATGAGAGCTTAGATGCTGCGAGGTTACTCACAGGCAGGAGCAGATGACATGCAAAGCCTGGGTTCGAACTACGAACTTTCCGGTCAGAAAATTCGCGCTTTAATCGCTGTGCTATCTCGGCCAAACCATGGATGTGAAAGTTATCTTCGTGCACATAGGGCTTATGTACACCCTTTTTGGCAAATAGATCAATGGATGGGGGACTTTGGCAACAAGATCCACAAAATGTAGACAACCGGTATATAGATCAACCAGAAAAAAAGCCACGATGATAATGTATGAGACCAACGTCCGGTTACCTGTGTATAAGAACCCAAGCTGGTGTCAGAAAGGACAAATAACCGTGTCATAATTCTCAAGTGCTGTATGATGATATGGTGAAGGGAAGCTAAACCGCAGACAGATAAAATGGAAGTATCAAGCCCCCAATTCTTCTAGTAGCTGCGGATTCGTACTTAAGATTTATTGAGGACAAGGGGGTAGGGGTAAATGGCTGAGTTGCAACAAGCTAGGCATACATTCCAGTGTGCACAGAGTTCATTGAAGCACATGAAACGGGAATGAGAATGGTCAACAAACAGGAAAATGAGTTCGTGCCACTGTGGCAACAGTGAGTTGTGCATATTTTACATCGTGTTCGGATGAAGTATGTAGTCTGACAGTCAACGCTGGATATACTGTTGTTGCTGCTTCAGGCAGCATTGGTGAAGTGACGGTTTCGCTTGCTGACGACAACTGGTCAACAAGAACTAACACAGGTTGAACTATTTGAGCTGGACAACGTAGCGTTGCTGCGCCCGATCTATTTCTCCTCGCACCATTCGTTTTCTTTTTTGACCTGAAACAAGAAACGCATCGGGTTAGTTGTGACCATGAGAGGATTATCAGATAATGACTAGGGAGCTCGCGCCAGAAAATACACTAGTGTTGCGTTATAATGAACTTTAGCTGTAAGTAGCGGGTCGTTCATTAAAGTTACATGACAAGCATCTATGGCGAACAACACACCAGAACTGGTGAGGGGAACAAAGGGCTCGTTTCAACAATCGACATGAAAATTCTTTTTCTATTGTTGACCAACAGCTGTTGAATCAAGCAGCAAATCCTGTCTTTTGACCGATATGCTCGCCTGAAACCCACTTTCTTCAAACACAGAACGACTGAAAAGTAAAATGACTAAAATGCTATAGCGAACCATCAACTTACAACCAACGCGGTAAAAAATTTCAAATGCATGCTGTATATTTCCATTGATCTGATACTGAGACACGTTATCAGTACGGCGTGCACGCAGACTTCTGCTTCAACGTTCCCTTAATCGTTAATGAAGCCTTACCACCCACATGGGCGTTAGTGTAACCGCCAAACACAACTGGCCTGAACCACTCAAAATGCTCACTCTTCCCGTTACTTAAGGATTGACTGGAGGCACACTGAACAAGCGGCTCAACCAATGTTTAGCTGCTGCAGTTCTGGACGTACTTGGAATCTTGATCATAGACACACATGCGTCGCGGTAACTGCTCGTTTTGTTTCGGAGGGAAAGTAGTGAGTATCGGTATTCTCCTCGATACGCGTCACTATCTCTTACTGCTGCAGTTCCGTACTTGGAATCTTGATCATAGACACACATGCGTCGCGGTAACTGCTCGTTTTGTTTCGGAGGGAAAGTAGTGAGTATCTATCGTCTCCTCGATACGCGTCACTATCTCTTACTGTTGGGGATATTAATATCCCCCAGAAAACGCTGTTTTTATGTGTGCTAGCGAACTCCTGGCATCTTCAAGGTCAAACTATGAAAAATCAATGGCCTATTGATACTCCAAGAAAATTTAAATCCGACCACGTACAGGATACCATTCTTTCCACTGACTTGGGTTCGGAAGCTCCGGGCATCGCCTGTTGATCGTGTGTTGTTGGATTATTAAAGTTTGTGTCCGAGGTTCTCGTCTTCTTACTATTCGCCGTGCTAGGAGTCTGTATCAAGCAACATAGCTGGGGATAGAGTATTGCCACAATCCGCATTATCATATTGTTTGCTCGCTGCGTGACCGAACCGTAACACATTGGCATACATGCCTCACGCAGTCAGTGACGCTCGTCCATCAAAGTTACCATACGTAGCAGCCTAACTGGTCACACTAACGTTTGCAGCGCT